GTTTTGCTCAGTTGATGAAGAAAAAGCTGTCTTAAGGACTATTTTTAGCAAAATATCGCCGTAACTGTTGTTTCAACGAAAGTAAGGGAGGTTGCTTTAGGTTTGTGTGCCACTCTTTTGGGGCTAGATTTAAAAACAAAGCTTTAAACGATCTTTTTGTACTCCAGTGCCCGACAGCAACAAAAAAAACGTGCTGCCCGAACCGGTACGATTACTCTAGATCTAGATCTAGATCTAGCCTAGATCTAGATCTAGGCCAAATAAAAATAAGGCCGGCTCTATTTCTCCGAACGTTCAGGAAAATAAACTTGAACTTAATTTCTGCGAACGGATTCCGTTCTCGAGATCTGTTGATAATAAACGAATGGAGTGGCCCGTGTGTGTGTGTCTGTGTAAGGTGTGAACAGGGGGGAGGGCGCCTGGAGGCATTTTTTTTTCTTGAAGGATTTTAGTTTTTGCTGAGTGACTAACTAAATGTAAAATAGGTTACTGCCAAGGTCTAGCAGTCTTGTTTTCTCACAGTACCTTTTGAAGGTATTTTCAAATGAAGTATAGAGTCTAGTCCGGGAACGTTGCCCCAACCACAACTGAAGTATCTGAATATTCAGACATTTAAAAATCTCTAGCTCTAGACTCTAGAAAGTGAATTTGATGCAAAAAATGCTTCTTCCCAGTCCTCCCAGAGTGGCAGAACGAAAGGATGACGCCTAAATCTCGCAAATAACCCAAAAATCTCGATATCGTATCGGAAACCGTTCAGAGAAATAAGAGTTCACCTTTATTTTCCCCAACGTTCGGAGAAATAGTCACTTCGTAAAAATAAAGGGTGTGAACAACCAAAAAAGCACCCAGACCCAGGGCCTGAGGAGAGTCAGAGAGTTACAATGTGAAAAATAACCATACCAAGAGTACTTTTACTTTCAAAACTATTCAATATTACTATTCCCATACGGACCCATAATTACAGACACTGGAACACGGGCCAATAAGACAGAATGCCAAGTTCAATCCAAGCCATAAACTGGGCCACATGGCACACATGTGTAGGCCTAGCCCATAGATGGCCTATCTATGGTTCTGCTGATCGTCCAGAGTCCAGTGACCTAGTGATCGATTTTCTTTACTGACATAATCCTGTCATTCTCATTGTCGTGAATTGGTTTCTGTATCACAAAGATAGGATTAGATTGTAGATGGCAGTGGCTATAAGAATATTAAGTCAATAATGCTATAAACGGCACTCACGTAAGACACACTACCCTCTGTTTCCTCATTTTCAGATGGCTTTTCTGTTCCACTATTTTCGACATCCTTTGTTCCGTCCCCAACAGTGGCGTCACCTGTTTCTGTGTCATCTTCAACATCAGAACCTTCCGAGTTAACTTCATCTGTCCTCGGTTTTTTCGTACTGCCGTTTGATTCGGCATCACCGGCACGTTTTTTGGGAGGCATTGTTGTGTATTTTGTTCGATTTGTGACAAAGAAAACAAACAGTAACGCACGAGCAGTGAGGAACCGCCAACAGATTTGTCCAGCGGGAAATCTCACTAGATCACGTGAATTCCCGCCAGACAAGCGTGACAACGCTATGATTGGATGATGCCGAAGAGTGGGAATTCCCAATTGTTTCGATCGTTGCGTAATGATGCACATGTCCCACTGGCTTGACCTCAGACGATTGTAGGCTAGCCTAGCCTAATCACAGAGATACGGGTGATTGAAGGGCATCGATCACTGGTTGTCAACTTTTTTACATTCCCTCTTTCCTTCCTGTTTTTTTTTTTTGCCTTGTTTTTTTTTTTGTTGCTTTCCCCCTTGACTCCTATACCAGTGTTCTTTTACTCAAAGTACAGATTGTGGAAGATCGATGTCCTAGGGCTTACGTTTGGAGTACCTTAATAATTATATAGCCTTTTCATGAAAATGAAAGGACTGGATTTCGAAGAAGACGGCTCTTATGATTCAGCCCAATATAAGCTATAAAAAAAAAAGAAAGAAAAAGAGCAAAAACATACAATCTAAAAAAGCAAACAAAAAAGCAATAGATTATCACACACAGTAAAGTCTTAAAATTTATCTGTCAATAGAAATTCTATTCATGTTTTATGTTTTTTTTCTCTGAGACACATAACGACGTTTAATTTTTTATGCATGCCATCTCTCTGTCTCTCTGCCTCTGTCTCTGTCTCTCTGTCTCTGTCTCTGTCTCTGTCTCTCTCTCTCTCTCTCTCTCTCTCTCTCTCTCTCTCTCTCTTTCTCTCTGTCTCTCCCTCTCTCTCTCTCTCTCTCTCTCTCTCTCTCTCTCTCTCTCTCTCTCTCTCTCTCCCTCCCTCTCTCGATCTCTCTCTTTCTCGATCCTACTCTCTCTCTCTTGCTCTCTCTCTCTCTCTCTCCCTCTCCCTCTCCCTCTCCCTCTCGCTCTCTCTCTCTCTCTCTCTCTATCTATCTATCTATCTATCTATCTATCTATCTATCTATCTATCTATCTATCTATCTATCTATCTATCTATCTATCTATCTATCTATCTATCTATCTATCTATCACACGCATACAAACATGAGCGCGCGCTCGTGTGTGTGTGTGTGTGTGTGTGTGTGTGTGTGTGTGTGTGTGTGTGTGTGTGTGTGTGTGTGTGTGTGTGTGTGTGTGTGTGTGTGTGTGATACACCGCCTAGAATGTTGGAGGATTTTGTTTTAGGGGCGCGTGGGTATCTGCCGCACAATAAATGCTGTTTCACGGCCCTATAATCCGTCCAATTGTTAACATATTACATGAGAGCCGCAATGAAAGGAATTTTTTCCCACAGCCCACGCACACAACCCCCTTGCTCCTTGAGCTTTCACTGCCAGACCCGAAACCAATTTAATAATGATTGAAGCAGTTCGATGACTCAGTCTTAGAGTAAAGGCGCATATCCTGCGTTTCGTAAATCTCGCTAATTTTTTGTCTAAAAAATTAATTATTGACTCTTTTCTTTCTTTTGTTAGACTGTAGAAATTGGATAATATCGATCCATTGTCTCCCCCCAACCGTCGCCAACACTCTCGATCCCAAAACAAAACGTAAGCGACAACACCTATACTACAAGATAAGTGTCGAGCTGATCGTGCGGGAATGGGGGAGGGAGGTATGGATGGGAATGGGTACTACCGTACTACAATACTACGTTGTGCAGATCTAGATCATGTGTTGTTGAGGAAATTATGCAAATTATTAAATGTTTCAAGGGTATGCTGTAATTCCTCGATCATTATTTTTACCCGCCTTTGGATTACATTAAAGAAAACGTGTCGGAACCTTGAATGTCGTGACCTTTCTGATTATGGGCTTTTAGATTCCGTGGGTCACCCAATTTATTAGACCCGTACGAAAAGATCTGGGCAAATTAAACAGAGCGATTTCACCTTGTTCTAACCGCGGTAAGACGAAAGTGAACATCTAAGTTTTCTGTTGAACACTGATGTAAGTATATTTTTCTCTGGAGCAGGAATGGCACTTGGTACGTGTATAGTGATGATGTTATTGGGCTATATATTATGCAGTTCGCCTGATTTCTGCCATACGGCATCAGTTGTATAGCGGTTGATCTCACTCAGTTGACGCGAGTTTGATTACCATAGAATTATGTTGGGAGAGATGTTATCGATTTTCTCCGCCTTTGCTCTGGGACGTTATAACTCTCTTAGCCTGGAGTGGAAGTGACAGGAAAAGTCGAAGCACGCCTCCTAAATTATGATCTGTGTCAGTTGGAGCATAAAGCATTTGCAACCATAGTAATATATTATGATAGTAACTACTTCGATTCTACTGTCATTATAGCAACTGGTGGCTCTTGAAGAATGAAGGGCGTTTTGTCGTTTAAAAACTCGGAGAAAATCAAAATTCTTATAATTTACCAGCTCTCACATTTGTACCTTTCCTCAGAGGCAAATGGCACACCCAACAGCACATGACCCGTTTTGTTGCTAGTTGGAACCGAAGCAGCTCATGGACAATTAATTCAAACCCCTCTCCCCCTTTTTATTTCAACCCCCCTGTTTATTAATTGTGGACTACGCGCAAAATAATATAGGCATACTGCAATACATGTACTATTTACTCCTTTGTTTGGTTAGTGTTTTACGTCGCTCGCAGCTGCATTAGGTCATATTAGCGCGCAGGACACATTAAACATTTTCAGTTGATAGGAAATTTTGAATTTTGTCCGGGTGGAGGCCAAAGCCTATTCTTATCGATTTTAGACCACCAAGGGATCTTTAACGTGCGCAACTTGTACACGAGTTTTCCGAGATTTTTTGCTCTTGTCCGAGAAGGCTAGGTGCAGATCTTTCCTACTAGAAGGTCAGGGGTGTGGCAGAAAGACAGCCGTAAGAAGGAGCCAAGAAGTAAAAGTAGAAAGGCTGCAGAAAGAGCCAGGAGCCCAGAGGAGGGGGCAATGGAGGTGAAGGGATGGGGGCAGAAACGAAAGCAGACGAAAGAACATTGCTAGAGAGCAAGAAAGGGGGTGAAAGGAGACAATTTCAGAGAAGAAAATGTTTCCGTCGCTACTTAAATTCAAACCCGGGACCTTTGAATGAGAGGCGTACACCTTAACCTCAAGGTCATGAGAGCCCCGACTATTTACTCTGAGAATGCGAAATAATTGTACCGGCGATCACACACAAAAAAGATGCTACGTTTTGATTGTGTATAAAATTCAATCTTTTGATTCTTTATACGTTTCCTTTCACGTGAGTAGTACTCTAACAAGTAGGTTATGTTATAAAAATAACATTAAACTTGATGCTTCAACGGTAAATTAATTTTTTTAAATAGAAAATTGGTGTGTTTTCCCTTTCCACCTAAGCGGCAGATTTTGTCTGTGAGAAATCGTGCCATCACCGCATCGAAATTCAACGTCTCTTTTTTTTCTGTGGACGGTGATTTGGTGAAGGACCTGGCAACAGCAAGAACGCGTGGCGCGTGGACGTGGAGCATTGTGCCGATGGCTCGATTTCTCAATTGAATTAAGACTACCATCTTTCTTGGGTAACAGTAACAGTAACAATGATCAAGTGTTGTTGCGGCTTTTGGTAAGCCCAGACGTTAACTTCATATTAAAACACACACACACACACACACACACACA